GCTTCTACTAAATACTGAGCAAAGGGTCTGAATACTTATGACCATGTGATATTTCAGTTTTTCTTTTTTAATAAATCTGCAAAAATGTCAAACATTCTGTGTTTTTCTGTCAATATGGGGTGCTGTGTGTACATTAATGAGGAAAAAAAATGAACTTAAATGATTTTAGCATATGGCTGCAATATAACAAAGAGGAAAAAATTTAAGGGGGTCTGAATACTTTCCGTACCCACTGTACATGCAGACAAATATTTTGTGTCACTGAACAAGGCATCAGTGATGACTTAAATACTACTGGGAGTTGTTACTGTCATTATTTGAAGAGGAAACACAAATAAGGACAGTGTTAGTACATTAAGCATACTTACCACCTGCAGGGGCAGAGAGAGACCAGAGGGGACCAGATTTGTTTAGCAGGAGAAGGGTTTAAAAGGGATGAAAAGAAAATTGAAAAGAGAGAAAGGATATTAGTTAGAGGAGGGATATTCACTACAAGTACTATTGGCAGGGACTGAGCTGAGTTGAGCAGGAGGAAAAGCAAAAGCACAGGGTCTATGATACTGCTATGTTGCCCAGACCAGAGCATTCCAGTTTAAAACTGAGTAGATGAGACTATTTGAGGAGAGACAGAAACAGGTCAGAAAGTAGGCCGTGAAGGGGAGACAGCAAGCAAGAGAAAAGCATAGACAGAGAAACGGGGAAAGAACAGGAAAAAGAAAAGATGGAGATGTGCCATTTCTGACAAAGGAGTCTGCTTATACTTTGTTCTGCAGGAAGATTAGAAAATGAGAATCCAGCAGAACCAGTGAGACAAAGAACCTCAGTACATACATGTCCATGTAGATCGGTGTTTAGCAGCATGAGGGCACAGGTTAAGGTGTGGGCTCCATCTGCAAGGGCACAATACACAAGGCCGAGGTCAGCTTCATGTCATACTGCTCCTCTACACACACACACACACACACAAATTCACGTGAATGGATACATTCCTTTCGTAAATGCATACACAAAATCACACGCTCACATCTGCAGAGCTATAAAATACATCAAATGCATGTCAGCATTAATACAGGTTAAATAATTTGAGCTGGTGCTGTGATCTGAATAGCTGAAGTATTTGAATTTGTGATGTTCATATCTGAAGGTTTATAACAGTCATGAGTAGGGATGTGCAAAAATAATTGATTACTTGATTACTGAAAAGGTCAGTGTCATCAAGTATAAAAAACCTAACTGCATAATTTTTTGGAGAAATTTATTTTTTACATGGCAGAGAAAGCAGAAGTAATGTTTATGACACCGCCTCTGCCTGTGCGCTACACACAGCGCCGGTGGGAGATACAGTAAAACTAGCAAAAAAAAAACAACCAAAAAACAAAATGAGGTGTGGTGTTATTTTATTCAACTGGACAACAAAGTTGAGTGCTCTTTTGGCAGGATGAATTTATCTTTCCACAATTCTACCAGCACGATGAGTCATTTACAGCATCGACAAAAAAGCGTTGAGCTTCACCAACACAAAGACGAGACACAGTGACAACAACAAAAAAAAAAAACAACTGGATTTGTTGCACCTAAACACTCATGTGACAGCAAATGACAAACATATAACAAATAACTGCACTGGTGACGGCGATGATGTCAGGACTAATCGGATAATCAGCTTAAATTGGCTTGATTTTTCAACCTTAAAAAATAATTCTTAATGCCTATCCGTGGTCATGAGGATCAATACCAAAATCAGCAGCAAGGTGTAAAATCAGTTTATTAGATATTTTATGGTGTATCACAAAGTACTTTTAAGACCTTTTCTCTTTATGATACTTTTCCTCATTACCATCTTTATAATCATCGTCATCACCCTCACAGCTCTGACCTTCTGAGGTTGGTGTCTGCGGGTTGCAGTGGCAGAAGCGTCTGGAGAAATGGACAAGGACCCGCTCTCTTTCCTGGGTCTCTCCCATCAGTGGAAAAGCCTTTAAGAAGTTCCTGTCACACACGAAAAACATACATACAAGGTCAAGGGACGGTCACCTGTTTCCCAGTATAGAAAAACTATCACACAGCCTGATCATTAAACTCGGCCTGGTGGTGAGGCCCTCTGTGGTTCACTACTGTAAGAAGTGACTGCATCATCTTCTCTCTGTGTATTAGACTGGTGCTGACTGCACAATGCACATTTGAACTGAAAATAGATTTGATTTTGTAACTATATTAGAAATCATCAGGGATAATTTAGGTCCAGTCTCACCTTCATGTTCACATTTTGAGGTGAAAAATTAAGGTAACATAAAATGTCAATTAATTGATTGGACAAGAGGCAGAAAATAATACTTAGCTACTCAGGTTTTTATTGTCATTTATCTTTGAAAATGAAAAAAAACATGAAGATATGATGTTAGACTTTCAACTGTAAAACAGAATTACTAAAGTAGAGTAACACAAGTATAGTTACATTAAAGCAACCTGTACTCAACTAATTCTACTGTAGTCAGATTAATGCAAGCATCTACCTCCATTCAACTATTTAGATGCATGTATAATTAAGAAACACTTAATTTTTGGCTAATTTGAGTGTTTACTTGATCAAGGACCAAAGTGATATACAATATGTGACTATAAACTGCCAAGGTCGAAACAATACCCAAATTAATTCACAACTAAAAGTATGTTACCTGCTACTTTTCAGTGGTGAAAAGTACAGTTACTCAAGCACTGTCCTTAAGAACAATTAAGTACAATTTTAAGATATCTGTACTTTACTTGAGTAGTTTGATTTTGTGTTACGTCACACTTCACTACATTTCAGTTACAAATATTGTAATTTTTTACTCCACTACATTTATTTGATAACTTTAGTTATTACTGTACTTACTATTCTATTATTAATCTATTAGCCAGATTAATACAAAAAATAAAGTACAATCATACAGATCTCTTGTAGAAAATTCACAAGCTACCCAGCACTAATTCAAATTATAAACATATATGCTAGTTATAACAAGCCACCTTCACCAGCTGCAACATTAAATGTAATGAACACAATAATGCATCAATAATTACAATCAAATCATATCATATACACTAATGTTAAATGTACCATTCTCCATAATGAATACTTGTACTTTTAGTACTTTAAATATGTTTTGATGCTAATACTTTTGTGTGTTTATTTAAGTAACATTTTGAGTGCAGGACTTTTACTTGTAACAGAGTGTTTTTGTATTGTTACTTTTACATTAGTATGGGATCTGAGTACTTCTTCCACCACTGCTACTTTTTAACAACATCATGCAAATCGGGCAAATGACAGCTCTTAGCTGAAGAGCCTACGCTGAAGGCAGCAGTTAGAGACAGCAGCATGTCAGGTTGTAGGCTGTGATTCACTCTGCAGCTCTCGGCTACAGCGGCTAAATGTTCTCAACACAACAGCTGAAAAGGGAATGTGAAGAATTTACATACACACACATACATATTTACAAACAACTGCTGAGTGTGCATTACCTTAGGGCTCGATCCAAAGATAGTCCGGAGAAATCAAAGAAACTCAGGTACTCTGACGCCACCAACTGGCTGAACTCGTTACTGCAGAAAGACAGAAGCATCAGTACATTATCATGGAGGGAGGAAGTATGACTGTGTTATATAAAGGTTTTCTTGACATCACTGTATTAAAACCGGCTCGTCTATTAACATTTTTAGCATATGCTGATGTGTTTGATTATGAGTTTGCACAATCAGTTATTTTAATGCATACCTTATGTCTTTGTGTCTCATATGTAACAATGTGAACATGTTTTTCTCTGTTTCTGTTGATTTATCGGTCTGTCTGCAGCATGTGTGTGCTCACTTCTTGCCCAGGTGTCTGGCCACATCACAGCGTTTGAAGCCCTCGAGGTGATAGAGGCGCTTGGCCAGCCTCTTGGCGGCCTCACAGTCAGCTTGGCAGCCCTCGGTGCTGCCGCGCTCCAAACGCTCCAGACTGCCCAAATCAGACTCCTCTGAGTCAGACAGCACGTCTGTGAGGTTGGCATCGCTGGGGAGGAGAACATACGCACATGTACACACAAACACACAAGCAGGTGCCCAGGTTAATGAATGGAACACATGTCCGTTGTTACACCCCCACTCACTTAAAACTAGATAGAGGAAACTGAACTGAACTGCTGAGCATAAAACTCAATTACATAAACATATGTTCACATACACACAAACAAAAGTCAAATGAGGTTTAAATGACTTGTTATGACACTGACCCAGTTTCACTGTCTCTTAATGTCCTACTTTAATGCAGTGGATCTGAAGGCTGATTATAATGCTGGAGCAGATTTCAACCTGCCCTACTATCTTCTACCAAGCTCCACTAATCTCAGGTTAATAACCTCTAACATAATTTGAATTAAAGTGCTGTGAAATAAAAACCAATAGCTCAATTCTACACCTAATTCCTAGATTCCAGGCAAATGTAGGTGAGAAGTTAGTAAGAAATGTGCAATTTTCTCTCCAGTAATAGTGAATGAGTAATACTCTATGTCTGGCCTTAAAAACACCCATCAACTTGCCCTTGAGCAAAACATCTAACCTCCAGTGTCAGTATAGTGAATTGTCCATTTGATGCACATTGTCACTAGGCTGTTTATCCCAGCTGTGAATGGGTGTATCTGTGTGAGCATGAAGCTGGGAATTTCTGCGAAACACTGAATGTACTCAATCACCCCTGTAGGAGTAGTTAAGATTAGGGAAAAAAACATAAAATCAGTCACCAGAGAGTTGAAAACAAGCTTCCATTTCCAAGTACTGACTTGCATAATGTGAATGAATAGCAGATGTGAATGAATAGCAGATGTTCCTGAACGCTGTGCACCTTATTTGAAGCTATAATGCCTCCCCCTGTCACTGTAGCCATTCTAGTACTACATAGCAACGCCTCAAACTGAAATTCATTGAACAGCTGTGTAAATATACTGAATTATAAACTATCAGTGAGGAACTGCAGTGTTATTGATTGAAGATTTGAAGTGGTACTCAAGTGGTACTTAGCAAATTAGCACTGAACCTTTGTTATGTTTGGGGATTAAAAAGAGACAGTTGAAAATAATTAAAGCAGCAGAGGCTGAGATATTCTGACCTTTACTCTCAAATATGGTGTCAAAACACTGGATCCTACATTTCCCATAATGCAAATCATTAGCATCTGTCATTAGACCCTTTCTGTCTGTCTCCTATCTTTCAAATCTGTATTACTGTATTAGCTGTATTACTCATGAGAAGTGTACTAAGCTTCATGTTAAAATTGGTGATGTGACCCTTTAACATCCAGACTAAGGCCATGCACACTAAGATGCAGCCTGTCACTAAAGGACAACAACTGATGAACTGTTGAGGTCTCGCATTCTCTAAAACTGTGTCATCAAGAGAACTGAGAAAATCAGTGGATTATTAATTAGCATCCTTCTTATTTATTTATTTATGACTGACTGGGGTAGTTTGCTTCCAGTATTGAGCTGTGCCCACTGTACTGCACTGCACTGTACACTTTGCAAAATGATAGATACCAGAGTCAATTAGTGGGAAATTCAGTAGCCATTGTATTTAAATTATTTGATTTAGATGGTTTGTTTTTGATTACAAGATTGTCTGTTACAAGCATGTTTTCTAGGCTTCATTGATGTCTGATCCAGTCTTCGCCACATCCTATTTTCAGTGTCCATAATATCTTCATCCCACCCAGCCCCATTAGAAACACAGTAAAACATTCAAGCAAATTGATCAAACAGTTAATGATATCCATATGCTGATACATTTATTTTTTTCTTAGTAAAGATTGTGCTATTTCACTTCCATCAGTCTAAATGGTATTTCCTCATTTCTTGTCTGTGTGATCATCTGCACAGCACCGTCAGCATTCTTGCTAGATGATTCAGACTTTTTTTTTAAACAAAATCTGATTAGCCCAATTGCATTACCCTCACAAATTCAATACATTACACACTGCTGTTATAAGGGATTAGCTGGTTACCATGGATACAATGGAAGACAAGTGTCATGTGCTAGAAGAAGAATGAAAGTAGACTATCTTAGGCATTTATTGACTAATATAAAAAAAGCTACAATGCTACAAAAACAAGTCGTTTCAACAGCCAGGAGTCAGTCCTCTGCCTTTACTTGCTGAATGGCTGACTGTGTGCTACACACCTACAGCTGACCTTTACAAAGAGCCCTGATTTCCCTGCTACTTTCCTGTCTTGGCTGATTTGTTAAGCTGTTAAAATTATTCTTTTTCTGGCCCCTGACCTTGGACTAATTTGCTTTAGAAGCCCCTACAAGAAGCTATTACCCCAAACAGCACAGTTCCCAGGGTCACAGGGACAAATAAACCCTTCTGCCACACTGAGGTGGGTCATGCAAACTCCTTCACCTTATCTTGGTGGGGCATCACTGCCAAGAATGACAATGAAATTGCAGATACAACCGGGTGAAAGCAGTTTCATTCGCAGGCTACCAGGGCTCGTCCTTAGGGACTGGGAGGGAAGCTTGTATATCCGGAACCATCAAAACGGCTGATCTTTTATATGAATAAGGAGCCAGTTGAAGTGGTTTAGCCATCTGATTAGAATGCTTCCTGTACTGCTCACTATGGAGGTATTCTGGACATGTCCAACAGGGAGGAGATCCCAGGTAGACCCAGACCTCTGTTCAATGAACTATATATTCCTCTTAACCAGGAGAACTTGCAAGGCCCCTTTCAGACCCAGACAAGTGGTTGAAAAAGGAAAAACTGATGGATGGGAATATATAGTTATGTATATTACACAAATGCCAGCACACACTTGCACAAAATAAAATGTGTCTGTGGTAAGTGATCAAAACAATATCTAGATGTGTGTTTGCAGTGAAATAGCTTTTGCTTGTTTTACCATATTAATTCACTACACTCAGGGCAAACTCATAAATCATTCAAAGCTCATATCAGTCATGGGGCTAAAAAGATGCTGGGCTTCCCCAGTGCAATGCTGTTTGGCAATAATAGAACCAACAGACACACACACAATAATAGTGAGAGAGACACAATATGAGGTGTGAGATATCTAGTGCAGGGACACTTGGTGAGACTGTGGGTCAAGTGGTGCACGGTAAACTTATTTGTCTATCAAAGAGCACAATTTTGTATCCCCAGGCCACATACAGTATATTGACTCACACTGTGGCCACTGACTCTCTGTGTGAGAGTGTGTCAGAGAAACATAGCATGATGGTGCATGCCAGTGACTCACGTTTCCACACCTACAAGGTGTGTCTGGGCATAAGGTGTGCATGGGAGTGTGAAGGGGAAGAGCAGGGTTATAGTGACATCGTCTATGAGTATAATCAACAATTAAGGAATTAACTGGATTATGAAATTCTGTTATTTCACAAACCTTTCTTTCATTTTTGGATACAGTGAGCTACTGTACAGTAGACATACAGAAGAAATACAGACACAGATGAGCTATTTGTCTTTTTGTACTTGTGCCAGTTATCTGCTGTGGTTTGTAGATACAATCTCTTTAAAAACTCTACTACAATACTGTGTCACGCTCCTGCTCCTCTTGCTTCCTGTCATGCTTTTATTTTCACATTACTTCCTGTTTTGTTTCACCTCAATTTTGGCCCTTTTATTTAATCATCATTAGTTCACCTGCTCCTTATTGTTTGCACCTGTTTTTTACTTCTATTTAGGCAGCGTCCTCCCACCAGGATGCTGCCAGATTGTTCTAGACCCCAGCTCTGACTCTCCAGCATTTATACCTTACCTGACTCTCTGTTTCTGACATTGGATTACCGTTTTTTGACCACCGTGTTTTGTCTATGCCCTCCCAGATTCTGATCGCCTGCAGTGTACCGACCTTCTGATTTTGTCCCCCTTGACCTCGAGTTTGGATCCCCTGGCTATACCTGTTTACCGGCGCCAACCCTGGACTGTCTTATCGACCTGATTGATATCCTGGACTTTGTGTTAGTTGTTTTGCTTACAACAAGTAAAGAACTTGTCGCTACCTCGGTTCGTCTGGTTTTCTAATTGAGATCACCACAACCTCTGTTTGACATCTGTACACGCCAAACCTGACATACTGTACCTCTTAAAGTAAAAGAAACATCAAACACAGCTGCAGCCACAAAAGCATTTTACATTAATCCAGAGGACTGATGCTGCACCAAATTTTATTCTTAACTGGTGGTCAGCACACACTGAATCGCATACATTACGAGCACATTTTGTTTTTCACACATTTTGTAAAGACTTGTCTCACACTGATTTTAAATAAGACACTCTACAAATCCCAATTTAATACCTTGATTAGAGCTGAAACAATACACAATTCATATTCCCGAAACAGAAAATTTATCAATAATTATTTGGTAATTGATTGTCCATTTGAATCATTTATCAAGAAAAGTACAATTGCTGTGTCAAATGTGTCGATTTTTCATGCATTCCTCCTTTGTATAAAAGTGTAAAGTAAATATCTTTGGGCTATAAACTGCTGGTTGGACAAACAATCTGAAGACATCACCTTGAGCCGCAGGATCTTATCAAAGGCATTTGTCACTTTTTTCTGACATTTACAAGCTAAACAAATAACTGATGAATAGATAACCTTACTAATTTATTCATAAGGAAACAAATTTTCAATGTCAGTCTCAACTTCAATGTCACATTTTAGCCTAGTGATGTAAAAGGTGTCTGAAGCAATCTCATACCATTTTAAATTATATGTCCTGTTAAATATATGACTGGAATTTATCGCAAAATCCTGTTATATTCTCTTTATATACCCTACACAGTTGCGCCTTATAGGAATATCACATGACAAAAAAATCGTTTAACACAAACTTTTATCCCATTGCTATTACCATAGACAAGTTACTGTAGAAAGATTACATTAGTACTGTAGTGATTTTTCGTCAGGACAAAGTTGCACTACAATCACCTCATTATTTCCATTTTGCCACGCAGCATAATGTTAATGTTCCCACCCATTGGGACGTAAAAGC